TTTAAAAGCTGCATACAAAACATATTAAAAAATAATCGCAAAGAGAGTATGCAATACTACAAAGATCATGTTATTAGAAAAACAAAATGGATTTATGAAAGTTGGGTCTTTCTCTGATAGCATTTTTATTGTCAAGCAGATCATTAAGACATTAAAAGAACACATGCTCTTCATAGATTACTTCCAAGGTTTTTTTTCACTATAAGCACTCATAACACACAAATACTAACACTAAATGCACTTCAATTGTTAAGGTTTCCTGCCTTCCCTTATTTCAGTCATTAGGAATATGTATAATGGTTCAGAAATCTGAATCAAGGGACAAGAGAAGAAGAGGGAGATTATAAAGCAATGAGTAAGTCAAGGAATATTTTGCTAAAGCATTAAATATGTGGATGTCCAGGTGAAAATCTTAAAGCCATAAAATGAAGCGAGGATGGAACCTAATCACTCTACAATTCACAAATGACAGAGTTTAATAGAAAATTATAAAAAATGGTCTACAGAAAACACAGAATTACACAAGTGAACTGAAATGTGTAACCTTTGTATATCCGCTTCAAAAACAAAAGTCATGGCTTCTGAAGGGAGGGAACTGTGTAGACCCAACAAGTATACAATTTGCCTACAGAGCAAATTTCAAGTTTAAACTGCCCGGGGAAAAAAATACAGAGAACAAAATAGATGCATTTGGAAAAATTGAAAGACTAAATCATATGAATAGAAAAATCAAAAGAACTGAAAAAGAAACTGAAACATTGCTTTCATTCTATAAAGTGTTAAGTATCCCATCATACTTGTATGGAAGTGAAAATTGAACAGTACTACAAAGCCCTGAACTCACGATTTCTGAGATCAGTAGCTAGTTATAGACTTATGGACAGGAAAAGAAACAGACATTTATGAAGAATTTGTAGAGTATGTAGTCTTCAAGAAAAAAAATAGAGACTACTGAAATTCTTGAATTCAACATATTGAAAGAATGCATGACAATGAATTGATGAGAATCTTTCATAACCATCACACAGGTAAATCCTAGTCACCTGAGGAAGAGATTGGGAGACCAGATGGAAACAGTGGTGTAACAGTGAAGCATTTCCAAGAAGATTTATGCACTAAAATATGCCCTATAAAATATATTAACTCATCAAAACACTCTTCTCTTAATTTTTGTACTCAGTACTTTTATGCCGTATAAAGGGGGAAGTTCCTTTCTTTTTGGCATTTGATTTCACTCTCTGTAGGGTTATCCCACCCTCTCTTCTTGTGAGTTCAAAAAACATGATAGTTAATCAGTGTTATCGGTTTTCATGAACTCGATAGAACGTAATATATGGAATGATTGTGGTTTGACTTTAAAATATCATGCTAACGTAAGTAATTCAGATTCAGGACATTTTATTTTACATAACAATAACCACATACATGTAGAAACATACATACAGAGGCAGAGAGGCATTTTCAAGCAAAATACACAGAAAAATTAGGAATTTGCAGAAATATTATGACTAAAAAAACGAGAGAAACTAAAATATGCTAGATCATAAAATCATACAAATATCAAACAAGCACATTTTCTAACTGGAGGGGGAAAATTTACATTTAAATCCAGTCCGTATTCATAAGTCAAGTAATTCTCTGGTTTAATTGAACATAAATTAAAAATGAAACATTAAATATGTAAGTTGTTGTAACCCTACTGCAAAAACTTCCTTGTTTAGAAAAGTGTATTAAAAAAAAAAAGAAGTTATTTAATGAAATATAAAAAAATGTGTGGAAAGCAAAAGTGAGAGAAAAAAATGTTTGTACCTTGCCATTATCCATAACAAGAACTCTGTCAGATGAAGTGACAGTCGAGAGTCTGTGGGCTATAGTAAGAACTGTGCAATGATGGAACTCCTTCTGGATTGCAGTTTGAATGGCAACTTCTGTCTCAGGATCAACAGCAGCAGTTGCTTCATCAAGAATTAAAATCTATAAATAAAACCCCCAAAAATTGATGCAATATTTATCTAAAAATGTCATCAAATGTACATTTATAACATATTAAAGCAAGTCTAAAACTAAATAATGAACAGACAAAATAATGTTTCCAATTGACTTTATATGCAAGAAAGAATGTGCTTATATTTAATGTAATAAAGGATACTGCTGATGTTTATAAAACATTAATCGTATATGCATACAGTTAAAAATATCAAAGTATTAAGTAGGCAATAGGATATGATAAAGTCCATTATGTACTCATTACTAATTATAAGCTTGCCCTACCAAGTGACTTAAATTCCCTTCCTATCGTCGTTCATTTTTTTTATGCTCATAAAAAAATACTACATAACCAAAATTGTCACCTTATTTTGACTAAGATTTTTTTAATGAAGGAGGAAGTTAAAATAATTAGATAATAGAACAAATATAAATATATTAAATAATAGAACATTGTTGATTACAGACAATATCTGTGTCTGATCAGTCAGACTGAATTAATACAACTAGCAATAAAAACACTAATTTATATCAACGTTCATGAGACCTGCCCTATTCTCTAATGCAGTGCTGGAGCTAGACAATTTTGGGCCTGGGGCAATGCTGAAATGTAGCCCCCCACCATGTGAAAGTTATATCAAAAAACAATTAATTAATATTAATGAACTATTACTAACTATTAATTAATTTATTTCAAGAAATAACAAAAAATATGTTTAGCAAGAAAATGTTTTTTGGAAAAATAAGTTGTAAAAGTATTTAGTGATCAAATAATACAATTTTCATGGTGATCTTCAAATGCTAAAAATGTTTGTGTTATATTAGTGTTTAATAAAATCTCTTATTAGACACATGAAATAATAATATGAAAACCTAATGTTGCCGTCATTTGATTCACATCATAGAGTCCTACTTTTCAAGTAATGACTAGGGGCCGGATTTTATTGAAATGCAATAATAATTCTTTTCGTATCTTTTTCTACTAATAAGTCATTTTTACCTTTTTTGCCATTTTTAAAGCATTTTTTGTGGATTTCATCAATTGTAATATAATTTTAATGGTATTGGTAATTTTAATTATATTTATGAGGTGCAACAAATGTTCTTTTCAGAATTCCTGAGTAGCATATTTAATTTTTTCGCTCATAAATTGTATTTCAGTTTATTATTACTCATCTAAGATTCCTATGACGTCTTCAGCACCATTGTTGGTTCTGCAGATTCCACAATAACTAAAGGCAAAGAACTGGTTCACTCCAAAACAAAATTTTCAAGCTGAGTTCACATGAATGAAAGAAGCCTCAATTACATCAGTAACATATCCAACTGCTTGAGTTGTTCATCTGAACTGGTTTTGATCAAACGTTTTACGTCATTTTTCTTTGTTTTTGGGGCATTTTTAACACTTTTAAGAGCATTTGAATGATAATTTTTTATATTTAGGTCATCAAAATCCGCCCCTATAACTATTTAAGGTACACAATTAATTGAAAATTTTATGGAATATCAGGCTTTCACTGCGCCCTGCGGCGGTCTGCGTCTTATAAATAACGATAACGATTTTCCTCGATTTCCAATTTATTTCTCAATTTTTTTTATTTTTCCCCATCAGTCCATCAAACGGGCTCCTTAATCGTGGGGGGGGGGAGGGGGGGGCGGGCGATCGCCCGGTCTGGACCAAACTAGAGCCGTCACTGCTCTTAAGCGCTCCTCCTATCTATCCTAGGTGAAATGTATTGTCATTTTTTAGAACATTATGAAAATATTTTACAGGCTTCTTGAAAAGTAACCTCAAATATCAAAATATACGGTTCAAACTCCCAAAGCCTCGAATTCGTTCAAATTGATCGAGGAATATCAATGTTGGAGAAAATGCCTGAACGGTTTAGGCGCTGGGGTTGACCTTAGGCGGATGGACAGACATTTTGCCGTCAGTCGATTTTTCGGTATCAAGAAACTACAAAACATGGATTTTCGCTATATCATTTGTTATAGGAAGTAATTTACTATACGAACTGGATTTATCCACTCAATAGTCCCGTCAATAGGTTTTCTGCCGAAAATTCGCCGTTTTCCGCCGGATTATTTCATAACCTTCTCGTCTTATGAAGTTCACGATAGTAAAAAGTATTTTCGTCGCATCAAAATTATAAGATACTGTTATTTTGGCATATTCAAATCCTCTTTATTGTAAGGCTAAACCTGTTAAATCTATTTTAAAAACCTTAATTAGTAATAATTTTTTCCTTGTTTTTTTATTTTTTTGCAACAATTTCTCTTAAAATACTCCAAAACCGCTCATACTATTTTGAAAAAAATTGTATCTGACATAATTTTGAAGAATAGATTTCACTAAGAAAAAATTCATGTCAAGTGTTTGAAGTTGTCGGAAGAGGTGCTACAAATTTTCAACTTTAACAATTTTGCAATTCAGAGATAGTAATGATAATCGGACCTGCACCATGTTCAATAGTGTATTTTGCTCTACTTGAACAGCTAATTTGGAGTCATTTTTGAGAAAATTTTGAAAATACCCTAAGGGCTTTATGAAAATTACCACCCAAAATAAAAAATCTGTTTGAAATTTGCAGGATCCCAAGTGCAGCCAAATTACTGAGAAGATATTCATTTGAATAAAATCCTATGTACAGTTTAGGTGCTAGTTTTGGCTGCAGATGGAAAGACAATCCTAAAGAGATTTTTATAAAACCACTTTTTCAGAATTAGCACCCCGTCAACACACAATTGCAGAAGTGTAATTTTTCGGGGGCTTCTTTCTATAAATACAATATTGAAGATTTTTCCTTTAATGAAATCTGTTCTTTATAGCTAATCTTGAAACTAGGTCCTATTCAAGTTTTCGAAAGTATGAGTAGTTTTCATGTAAATTTGCGCAATATATAGCAGATTTGAATTTTTTAACAAATTTTTCTCAAAATTTTGCCTTTGAATTTTCATCTCTTATGTGTTCAAGGAAAAATTCAGCTTGCTCGTCCCATATTCGCCGAACTTTCGTGTTTTTTTCTTCGAAAATTGGAAAAATGTGAACATTTCAAAATTACGAAATTGAAGATAAAAGATTTTTACCTGAGACAAGTCTGTTGCAAACTACTGGTGCGACAAGAGCACATTTTCTCGCATTATTTCAAAATTTGCAATTTTCGAAAATGAGCCTCCTCCCAATTTTTTGATTTTATCTTTTTCTAACCATGGAAAAACTCGGAGTAGTTTTTGAAGAGAAAAATACGAGAAATCTAATTTTTGCGAAAAATTGTACTTGACCATTTTTAAATAGCTGGATTTTTTCAAACAGATTTTATCTAAGGCAATCATCTCTTGCCTTCAATTTTATAGTTTTATATTAAATTTAGTTAAATATTAACATTTTGCAATTTGCGAAAAAATTGGGAGTTCGCCGAAAATGGGACTATCACCATCTATTTTTTACCATCCCTTAATAAAATAAAAATATTCAAAGAAAAAAAATGGTGCGGTTTTGAAAAATAAATCATTACAAAAATTGCCTATATTTTGCGCAAAATTACACGGAAAATACTCATAGTTTCGAAAAATTGAATTATTACTTCAAGATCTTTCTTTGACTGTGTAAGGAGTCTTTTTTGACCTCAGGGACTAATAATGTTTCACAACTTTCTGAAAATTATTCACATGAACTTCTCCTTTTAGATATGTTTGGAGTTAAAAATACCACATTTGACCCCTAAATCACAAGAAAATTTCTAAAAACGTGTCAATTTCCTTTTTGTAATATTATGTTGTGGTTTCTAAGTGACAATTTGGTGTATTTGTTTATTATGATTTTGTAACTCTCTTTCAAACATTCACATGCAGGTAAGCTAGACCACCTAAGTAAAGTAAAGTAAAGTTGTAGGCTTCTGCGGCCAGAGTCATGTGGGTGATGTGGGCTGTCCGGGTGACGCCGCGTCGAAGGCTGAGTTGCCGACGTTTCGACCATCCTGTCGTGGTCTTCCTCAGGGCTGGTATGCCAACTCCTGAGGAAGACCACGACAGGATGGTCGAAACGTCTGCAACTCAGCCTTCGACGCGGCATCACCCGGCCAGCCCAGATCACTCTTCATGTAAAGTAGTACCTGCAAAATCAAAGTATCCAGTTTAAACTCCCAAAGCCTTGATATCGTTCAGATCAATAGGGGAATATCAATTTTGTAGATAATCAGATGAACGGATTAGGCGTTATCATTGACCATAGACGTTTTGCCGTCAATTGGAATTTTAGTTGTAGTCAGAATCCATGTTTTGTGGGTACAAAACATGGATTCTAGTTACACCATATATTAGAATATATTATTAAATATAGCAATAGGATTTATCCACATTTTTGTTACTGGCAATAATAGTTTTTCTTCTAAAAACTGAAATGACTTAATAACAGCATTTTGACTTCAAAATTAAGAAGCAATTTAGAAATGAAATTGAAGTAAATGTTAACAAGCTTACCTTAATAAAGGAGCCAATACACATGTCAGGTTCTAAATTTATAGAAGTTAATGATACGGATTACTCTTGAAGTTTAAACATGAGGTAGCACAATGTGAGATAAAAATTATTACCTTGGTATTTTTCAATAATGCTCGAGCTAAGCACAGCAGCTGTCTTTCTCCTGTGGAGAAGTTGTTCCCAGAGGCATTTACACTAGCATCTAATTGATCAGCAGTGCTTGAAATTTTGTTTTTCAAAGTAGTTTTCTCAAGAGCATTCCACAAATCAGAATCAGAAAATAATTGATGTGGGTCAAGGTTTGATCTATAACAAAAAAGAAATATTAAATCACAATGTGCTGCAGTTAGAACAATGGTATCAAGTCAGAAATCAACTTCATTTCTTTCCTTTATTCCAGTATTTTTATTTTAATCTTTGACATTAAAAACGAAGTAAATTAATATAACAGAGTTACTCTTGAAATAAATCCAGAATTCTGTTCAATCATTTGTTTTTGTATAGAACACAAGAAACAATTTTTCAAATAATGTGTGAAATGCTTTCTTTCCAAGAAGTTAGATTTCTATTTAAGAGAAAGTATTTTTAAGTTTATATGTAATTTCTTAAACTGGTTCAAATTTGTGAACAAATTTTTAAAAGTTGGAAATTAAACACAATCAGAAATAATAAAAATTAAAAAGATAAAGCTTTTGTGTAGCCCCAGAAACAAGTTAAGGTGCTGCAGAAAATATTTTATTACTTTTTTATGCAATATGTTTACATTTCTTATGTGAATAGGGAATCATTAACAGGTTTTCTGTTAAATGGCAGGTCCCTGCATTACTTTTCTCCTATAATTTCTGTGGTGAAGCCAAAAAACCTCACTTTAACTACCAGTTTCAGCTTCCTCCATCTTCTCATTTCTTCTGCTGATCCCTCAATTGTGGTTTGTGAATTTTCCTCTTTTGTTGTATGACCAGTTTCCTTCCTTTAGGTATCATTTACACAAGTCTTCTTTTCCCTTTTATGTTCCAGCATGTTTTCATTGTCTTTGAACCGTACTTTCTTTATCCTCCACCATACCCCATCATGCTTTGATAAAGTGTAGTGCATAAATTGATATTGGGTACCTGAGTATATGCTGTTTACACTGAAACTTTTAGAATGAAGGACTTTGCCACACACTGCTTGTATTAATATCTGAATTGGACTAAAATGCACATCCTCCATTAAGTTAATTTTTTAACCAAAACAATAAATTGATAGTTTATACATTCAAAGTTTATACTCCACAATGGGAGTATTTCCATTTAAATGAATGAGGATCAACAAAGATCATTAGGATGATTTACTCAATTATTGACAATTTCCCTCCCATAATTATTATTATTATTATTATTATTATTATTATTATTATTATTATTATTATTATTATTTTAATTTTGGAAGTGGGTGAAATGCTCTACGCACTATAAGATTTAGAAACCCTGTGTGAGACTCCCAGAGTTGATCTTCCCACTAAAACCCACTCCGTTCCACCCAGAATGTCTTAGCAAGGAATTGCAGCTATGGCATTTCATGTCAGACTGGCTCGGTGATCTCTAGGATCCTTCTATTCCGGTCCTCTGAGGGCTTCTTTCTTCTTCATAACTCTTTTCGCGTAGTTATAAATTTTTGCCAAGTTTTCTTGCGTTTCTACCATTTCTTTTACTATGTTGTTTGGTGAGATCTCCTTTCCAATACTGGAGTTGGTTATTTATCTGTCTACTTTTAAATCTTGGCAGTAAAATAACACATGCACCATGCGTTCTGCGTCATCTTCTGTTCTGCAGGTGGTACACATGTTGTCCTCATTCTTTTTGAAGCGGTATAAGTAGCTTCTGAATCTTCCATAGCCTGTGAATGCTTATGTCAGGTAGACATTGGTGTCCCCGTATTTTTGTTCTATCCATTTCTTAATATCGTATATTAGACTATAAGTCAATCTTCCTCTCGTTTCTTTTCTCCAAGGGTCTTGCCATATGTGATAGGTCCTCTCTTGCTTCCTTCTTCACCTTTTTTTTAAAAAAAAATTGTTGTGTCTACAGAGACGCAACGCGTCACCAAGGTCCTTGGGAGGGGGGGGCGTTAAGCGCTTTGCGCTTGGAGTAAATTAATCCTCCACTTAATTGCGCAGGAGTAATCCTCCATTAAGATCGTCATGTCTCGTCTCGTCGTCAGTTAGTTGTCAGGGGGACCACCAGGTAGCATCTCTGCGTACGTGCCTCCTACTACGCGCTCCTTCGTCACTACCTAGCGGCCACGTTTAGAAATACATTAGGATTGGGAGAGGGCTTGGGACACTTCACAGGGGTTGGACTAGCCCTTGTGAAGCGGCCAAACTGGTTTTGTTGGAACAGATTTCACATGAGATTGTCCGGGATTCGTCGGGAATCGAAACCGGGCCTCCTTCGTGAAAGGCGAGCGACTTCGGTCTGAGCCACCAGATGACCCTTTCTGGTGTCTGAATTTCTTTCAAGTTTTCGTAGACGGATGTTCTTTCCTTTATCAGAAGGTCGATAGAGGGGTAAGCTTACTAGCACAAGGGCGGCACTTTCAGAGACTGTTCGGTGGGCAGAGATGATCCTCAGTGCTACCCCTCTCTACCGACAGCAGCCTTCTCCTATACTCGTACTTTCCTACTTTCATAGCGCCCACCCATGCGGGAGCTGCATATAACATTTTGGACAGAACTGACCCTTCTACCAGTCTTTTCTTTTGTCTCGGGCCCTCATTCGGCATTACTCATGTTAGATTTCCTCCCGCTTCCATTGCCTTCATCGCTACCTTCTCCAAAACTTATGTATAAACAATTGTCGATTTCTACTCCTAAATAGGTAAGGTGTTTTATTCATTGTATTTCATTGCCTCCCACCTCTATTCTCGGCTTCCTTAAGCCCCTTCTCTTGGTGACCAGAACTGCCTCTGTTTTATCAGTCATGTCTAATTTCCGTTTAACCAACCAACTTTTACTCTAGGCAGGCTCTCATTTTCTCGCATATCAAGGATGTCTTCGCTTCCTGCTGCGACGACAATCAAGGCGTCCAATAATATTTACTTCCCTTGGGAACATCGTCTTTAAAAAGTCATCGTAAACCAGGTTCCATAGCATTGGGCCTAACCGAGATTCTTGAGGGGCTCCACACGTAATTTTTTTTTAAATTCTCCAATTATCTCTTTCATATGAAATGCTACTCTCGCTTAGGTAGTTCTTCATGAAACGCAAATGGGGGCCTGAACAAAAAGAAACACGAAATTATTCATTTTATTAATGACTATTCCCCGGATGTATTCCTCACCGGGTTACAAAGCCGGACCCACCCGTTACAAAGCGATAACTTTACTCTTCCAAATTTTCTTATTTACAAAATCGTCCAGGACCCCACCGCGGCTGTGGTACCTTCACAGCAGTAAGACGTACTATCCTACATATGCCCCTGGACAATCCGCCTCTCACCGTAATAGAGGCAATATCGGTTGAAATCGGTACGCCGCGCGTTGCAATCACTGCTGTATCCGGGTATAGGCGACCTCAGATCCAACTCGAGGAAGCCGACCTCGACACGCTGTTAACGCTAGGGGAGAATGTTATTATATTGTAGCACGTGACTTGAACGCCAAGCATACGGAGCTGCTGGGCTGCTGTGCGGAACTCGATGGGAGAGCACCTGCTTCCCTATTTAAATAGAAGCGATCGGCTCATTTCCCCTCTTATCACCCACCTGCGTACTGCCATATTCACTAGACAAATAAACGGCGACATTCTTGACTTTGTACTGCACTCCCCCGCACTCCAAATCACAACCCCAAAGCCCCTTCACGACCTCACATCGGACTATCTCCCTATTCTATTTGTCTTTCATAGAGATCACTCCGACAAGAATAACCTACGAAACAAGTTGGACCAAATTCAAGACAACACTAAACAAACTTCTACGTGATCCAGACCTAGATAACTCGACTAAGAGCAATAGAACATCTAAATTTCCAAATCAAAATTGCTTTTGACAAAAAAAAATTCCAAACGACAGGACCTGATCATCCCACATTCCAAACCCCTGTCGTGCTGATTCGCCTAATCCAAGATCGTCGCAAAGCGCAGCGAAATTACCAGCGAACGCACGACCCTGACGGGAAAGCAGCGTAAGCCGACTATTCGGCGGAAAAACCCTAGGCTTCTGCGAGAGCACAGGTTGCGATGTGAGAAAAGTACGTCGAAAATAGTCAAATCAACAATGCTAGCGACCTGTGGAAATTACGAGTGTTACGTAACCCACAGCCTGCCACCACCGCGCTCAAACGCCCAATTAATCTCCCGCCCATTTACGACCCGAAAGCATAAATTTTCGTCACCTTACTTCAAGAGCGCTTCACGCCACCCTTCATCTCATTTCCTCTTCCGGCCATCGCCACCGAAATCCCCATCACACCCACAGTCCTCGCTGATATGCCGCCTGACTGGCACATTGAAGCGACCTACTCACAAACATGAACACATCGATCAGGCAGACCTAACAAGCTTCCAGCACCAGTGCTAAAGCAACTTCCTCGTAGAGTCGCCACACTTTTAGCCTCGATATATTCTGCTTGCATTTCTGCGCAATATTTCCCCACTGTGTGGAAATCGGTGACCGTGACGCTTATTCCGAAACCGGTCAGAACATGCGCCTCCCAGAGACCTACCGTCTCATCTCTCTTGCTCATTCTAGGAAAAATGTTCGAAAGAATAATTCTGAACAGAATAAGGAAAGATCTTGAAATACGATGTATCATTCGGGAGACGCAATTCGGTTTTCGGAAAAATCGCTCCTCCGCCCTCCAAGCCCTTCATTTCACTTTCTTTGTCTCTTCACTAGCATGCCGTTGTTCTACCCCACACTATTCTTCGATTGTTCTTTCGCCTTCGACACGGTCCATCACCCTCTACTTATACACAAACTTCGCCCCTACGTCCTTCACTTTATTCTTAACCTTCTCATCAGATATTTAACTTCACGAGATTTTTCCATTCGCTATTAAAAGTTCTCATCTTCAATTCGGCCTATTCGCGCCGGCGTCCCTCAGGGCGCCGTACTTTCACCTTTACTTTTCTATTTCTCAACGACGCTCCTACCATCACCGGAGTAAGCGATTTCATCTATGCTGAAGACGTAGCGTTCACGGGCAAAGATAAACGCATAAACATCGCGGTAAAGCGCCTACGAGTCACAAACGCGCTCAATCAGTGAAGCGCGGAAAACTGCCTCACACTCAATGCGCAGAAATGCCAAGCCATCGTCTTTTCCCACACACAACTCTCACTCTCGCATACAACTCTCACTCTGTCGCTCCCATCCCACTAAATGGTCACGCCGTGGCGGGACAATATCAAATATCTAGGAGTTACGTTCGACTGAAAACTGAACTGGAAAATACACATTTCAAATGCACGAAACATAATGACTTGGCGAATTTCATCGCTCCCCCTTTTTAAGTGCCGAGCCCTTAAAGAAAAAAATAAACTTCACCTATATCTCGCATGCGTACGAAACGCGGGGCAACGCTCTTGCGAGATATGGGCCACAGCCCCCGAAACATGGCTCCATTACATGACACGTGCTGAAAATTACTTCATTCGTGCGGCATTTCACCCACCCCAGAGTCAATCCTCGCTAACGAACTCGCTACAAGAAACATAACAACTATCACCACCACGCTACACGAGATCGCCACGGAAAGAATTGAAGACATCTTCACTCCCTCTTATAGCCCTACTCACAATACTACAAAAAGCCACAAAGAAAAAACTGCCATCAGACATCATCTTTTTGAAACCACCTTGATACTCGAACACTAATATCCACAGAAGACCTAATACATACCAAAACACAGAAGCTCTTAAACACAACCCAACACACGCTAAATACAAATTACAAATCACACAACTCAGAGTGCAATAACGAGCAAAGCGACGCCGAAAACACACCTCCACCTCCCGTATAAGTGTAACTAAGTTAGGCTAGTTTGTTTAGCATTAAGTTCATTGCAAATATAAATTTGTAAATACCTGTAAAACTGTACCAAACAACTATTAAATAAAAAAACTAGAGAATGTGAGTGAACCGAGTATGACATGACAAAATCACTTCTTTTGGGGAGAAGAAAAGCTAAGCCAATAAAATAAACAAACCAAAAACAAAAATAACCCAACGTGCACCAACGCACACGAGCGAGAGGAGCAAAATATACAATGCATACGGAAAACCGATAAGCGATGTATAAACAACTATTTTCGCTCAAACTATAAGAGCGCGGAAGAACTCTCCCCAAGGGAGTAGACCGCAATGTACGCGACCTCGCGTGTGTAGGTAGTTCTTCAAATAGACTGGGATATTCCGTATTTCTAATGCCTCTTTTACATCTTCCCAGCCCAAGGAGCTGAATGCGATCAGGTTGTTTGTTCAGCTTCCCTGATCCCTTGAGCAAATGCTGAGATAGCCCCTTGTTTCGTTTCTGGACAGTATTGTAACTTCGCTCTCTCCACCCAAGACATATTGACTTATTATAGATGATTGTAATTGTGTGACTCAATAAATATTATTGTTATTGTTATTATTATTATTATTATTTTTATAAGGGGGAATCCTTTATGGAGACCGATGAAGCCAGTACTGTCGGACTTGCGTTCTTGGTTTACCGACTAAAACCCTAAATCTTCGTCTCCTAAGTCGTGATTTCTCCCACGCGGAAACCGTCGCTAGAATTACTTTGCGTAGAAGGTTGACTGGAAGCTAGTTCTTTAACTCCTCCACTCCTTTTCCATCATGATGTTAACTAAGTAGTTCTCTATTACAGTCCACTTCTCCTCCGAACTCAACATCATGTCCACCATGTTTTCTGGAGTTGTCACTTGTTGAAGCTTAACTTGCGCAGATAATCTTCTCCCCCTACGTCACATAGTTTTTACTGTTTTTTGACTAAATCTAAATAAATAACCGTTACAAATCTCCCTTTCTGCATCCCATGCCTTGCACTGAAACAGTGTATGATCTACGTCGTCAATATCTTCTCGACATAAATTACATGTCGGACCTTTTTTAATCTTGTAATCATAAAGGTATTTACCGAAGCCACAGTGTCCGTTAAAGTCCTGGAATACAAAACATTCAACCTCCCTAAATTTTTCGAGCTACCCATCTCTGCAATAATTATTAATTATAACACGATGTGTCCCATCTTCTTTAGCGTCTACATTCCACGCTTCTTTGCCACTTACTTCACAAAATAGTCTCTGTCTCTCTTTCCTTGAAGGGAGCATGACTGATTTAACTTGCCGAGCTTCCTGTAAGGCGGAGTAACGTACATTTTCTTTACATGGCTATCGATGGGTGGGGATACTAGCCAATACTAGGCACTGCGCATAGTAGACACTGGTAACGGTAGACAGCCCAGCTACCAACTCAGGGGCATTCGTCTTTGGCACTGGAGCATACTTATTTCTCAATAAGCCTGGTTTTTTCCAAAGAATTCGCCCAGACTAGTGCTGCATACAAAAATTGTGAATGAACTACTTCAGATATCCTTCTCTTGACTTCTCGTGGTCCACCTACATTCGGTAGTATTCTTGATAAGTTGGATCCTATCATCGCTGCCATTGCTGCCATCACACTTATGTGTGGCCCAAACTTAAGTCTGCGGTCTATCTCAACCCCTAGATATGTTATTTGGCGCTCCCAGTTTATTCTCTTTTTCCAGTCGGATATCTGGAAAGCGAAAAGCCCTCCAATCGGTAATTAACACAGCTTCAGTTTTTCCTACTCCTATCTAAAGAAGTCGTCTGTCTAGCCATCTTTTAACTCTATAGAGTGCTTCATTCACTCTTAGTTCAAGCACTTCAATATCATCACAATGACTTATTATTAGTGTATAATCCGCGTATCCTATAATCTGCGTATTTCTCGAAAGTTTAATACATAATATGCCATCATACAGGACATTTTATAAAAAAAAGGGCCACGTCTGGACCCTTGTGGAAATCCGCACGTCATATATTCTTCAATCTTGATGTTATCCATATAAATTATCTGCCTTTCATGTAGGTAGTCCTTGATGATCCTTAATAAATATTCAGGGATCCCCCTGTCTACCAATGCTTCCATGACATCCTTCCACCTGGCTGAGTTGATGGCGTTTCTAATATCAATTGCTACAAGTGCGCAGAATCCCTTCTTCCTTCCAGTTCCATTTCTAGCTGCATCTGTGATGCGAACTGCTTCTAAAATCGCATTCGTCGTTGAACAGCCTTTCTGAAATCCATATTGTCTTTGAGAAAAGCTTATATATTCCTCAAATCTTGAGAGTATTAGCCCCTCCAGTAACTTGCTCATAGTATCCAGAAGGCAGTGTTCTATACAACGATGTCTGTTTCAACGGTTTCTTGCCCTTCCGGAGGAATATCAGCTTTTGTTTATTCCTGTTCTTGTAAAATTTCCCATCCTTATGACATCTATTATAGGCTGCCAGAAGACTTTCTGGGTATACTTGTACCACTAATTTTAATATTTCGGTGGGGATCCCACCCAAGCCTGGTGCCTTCCCAGTTTTCATATTCTTCACTGCTTTCCGCAATTAGTTTCCCGTAAAGTAATCAGCATCATTGAGCATAAAATCATTCTGTCTTTGCCTCACCCAGAGATCTCTTGTGCGAAAGAACCACTGTGGGTCGTTTAGTTACGTTATTTTGGGATCCATCCGAAACTCCTTAGTCACTATCTTATACGCCATACCCCAATGTCCATTATCAATCTGCCTTAGGAGTACCATCCAACTTCTACTTTTGCTCCTTTTAAATTATTTTTTAAGTCGCTTACGCTGCGCTCGTATAACTAAGGTATTGGTCGGTCCTGGCTCTTCTCGCCATTCTTCTAGCCTTAATGCAGCTCCTACGTGCTTCTTCTATTTACGAGGTTCACCAGAACATTTGTTGTTTATTCCTGGGGCTACTGCTTCTAGGCATAGACGATTATTATTTATTTATTAAACGCGAAATCGGACGACCCGCCGATGGCCGATGGCCTACCCTCACAGTAACCGTAGATTACGTCGTACTCACAACGGCTAACATAACATATTAGCGAAGATATCGAATAGGCTACTTGGTAAATCTCTGGAGAACATATGTTGCATTTCGTGAATATTAATTGAAGCAAGTACCATTGAAATGATATTGAAATAAAATAAATCAGCGAAAAATGACGTATAGAAATGGTTATTTTCTTACATCATAACATAAAATTAATGTTTATACGAAACGCAGTGTTCTGAAGTGAAAATTAAAAAATGTCATTTCAATAAAATCCGCCCCTAGTCAAAATCAAGATATAAAATATTCCAATAGGTGCTTCATTTTTATCCATAGATGAAGCGATATCTTGAAAATAAAATGTGGCTTCCATCTGGTGCATCATCTTTCTAAGAACATTTTCTTCTATGACATCAGATTTTCTACCTGTCCCGCTCTTGTTGATGACCTCTGATTCTTTAAAAGAATATACTTGAAATTAGCATCATTTAATGATCGTGTGATCGAGTTGCGAAGTCGTACATCTCTGTCCCTCCGTTTCGCGGGTAACTGGGTGAGGGCGGCAAGTTTCCAAGTTAGGGAGCTTTTTGTTAAATTAATATTGAATATCACCCTCTTCTGTGGTTGGGTGTAGAATATGTACGCCTATCAATATGATATTTTTTTTTCATTTCTGTCTTTTGCAAAACGCAGATCACATTAAAAGAGAGAGACAGAATCGCTCGGCAAATTTGCTGTGGATGACGAGAGTACGTCAGCGAAAAAAGTACCTACTATCTAGGGAAAACCTCGTCTTACGGTAATTAAGGTATTTCATTATTTCAGTCATACTTACCGTATTGTGCCAGCAAATAAGACAGGATCTTGAGGTATCACAGTAAGCCTACTTCGCAGCACTTCTAAGGATACATCAGCAATATCAATACCATCAATTTTTATTTGACCTGAAGAAATCTCAACCAATCGAAATAATGCCACAATCAATGAGCTTTTTCCAGATCCAGTACGACCAACAATACCTAAAAAAAATTACATTATATGAAATATACATTACACACTGTATTTTTGAATATATTGAATATTAAAAACTGTGAATGGAGTATGGTAGAGAAGTGCAATCTGTGCATGTTTGCGGGAATCCTTACCCCAACTCTTATAATATGCAATTAAGAATTATGATTAAAAGTAGCAATAAGCGTTTTTGGCAAATCTTGATAACAAAAAATATTTGCTACCATAAAATAAAAACTGCATTGACAACTGAGCTATGGTTTTGACTCTTATCCTTAATCATGCACTATATGAAGGAAGCAATTCACCACTGCAAGAACACTGAGATTGTCCCACGTGCTTCATGTAAAGTACCCCCCAAAAAATAAAACATCGGTTTCAAATTCCACAGACCGCGACATCAGCCAGATAGAATGGAGATTGAGAACGATTGAGAATACCCCTTCCCCATTTACATGAAATAAAAATTATGTCTAAGGGGGAAAAATTATAATAATTTGATTTGTGTTCTATTTTAAAATGTCTGATAATTAATATCAGAATTAATTGGCAATGCTGATTACATGTAACAATAACATTAGGAACAAGTGCTATTTGAAGGAAGGACGCACACACATGGACATTGCTTACAAGCCATGCACAATCAGGGATGATGCATGAGCGACAATCTACTTCACCAACTGAATTGGATTCTAGAATAAACAATACATCAGTTTTGAATATTTTCTTCATAATCTTACACATTCTATAAAAAATTACAAAAAAGTACTTCCATTTATGGTAAAAAATTACACAATAACTTTAAATTATTTATGTTTTTTAAAAATTAATTAATATTGTAATGTTTTGTTATAAGACAGAAAAAAGTAATTTTTTCACCAGGTGTTGAAAAATTAAAAATAAATCAATGTTGTGTAACAGTAAATTAACAACCCCCAAGTAATGCTGCGTAACACTGCCTCAAACATCCTCCCCCCTCTTTAGCACTATGTAATTTATGAACGACCACCTCTCCTATTACACACCTACCTCTCATTTCTAGAATTTTTATTGCAGAGGTGCCATTATCATATTTTTTGGGGCTTGGGATACTTTTCCTCACTGAATGTCAAATGCATTATGGATTACTCATTGACAATTCAGTGATATTAATACTACAAAATGTCCTTGCTTACCTCTAATAATTTTAAATTCTCAGTATTGCACAAGTATGTTTAATTGACTTAACAGGTAACCTGCACTATTTGTTTGCCAATTAAGACTTACTTAATGTGTGTGCTCATTGCATGCCTAAAGGAAATGTGTTGAAATATGACTTTCAGACTTCTAATACTTAAGAAATTAATGTATACACCAAGAATGAATTTACTTCATGATTGTATGAACCCAGAGCTGCAAATTGCAATAGCTAATTTCTAAGCTGTTGGAGATATTGCAAATTACAAAATCTCTAACAAATTTTGAATTCATTTCAGGTACACTTTTTCAAAATGTATGTACTTTTCTTGTAATTTTGAGTGAATCAAAACAGTTTTCCAAATATGTAAATAAGATATTCTCAAAAATGGCTTCAAATGTGTGCTTTAATCTTTTTGTAAGGAGAGAGCATAATGTATTAAATTTTAAGATGAAAGTGCTACTTTCATTAAAAGTTTTGAATTTTGAAAAATAACATGTATGTATTTTTTTAGAATCTCAAATATTTTTTGGGTAAAGAGTTTCTTAAGAGATGTCCGAAGTATTAGAATGATGCAAGTTGCAATACTGTAATACTGTATAACCATTACAAATAATATGATTGTTGTAGCAAAACTAGTTGCTGTTGGATTCTTAAAATCTAAATCGGCTACGGTTTTTCTGTCATTTTAAAATTTTTTTCTCTGCAGTGTGCAGACACTATTACATTTCACTCTTTCATTATATTTCAGATAAATGGGACAAATTTTAGAGCAAGAAATGTTTCTTACCCACTTTCTCTCCAGAATTAATATAAAAACTTATGTTCTTTATCACATCAGGAAGGCCCTTTCGGTATGTCAAACCCACATTTTCAAACCTAATATTGCCCCTGGAGGGCCACTCAGCAGAGGGACGTTTCAGGCTGCCATGACCTTCCCGCACAACATTCTGAAAGTAAAAATAAGAAAACAATGTGAATTTTTTTCATCAAATAATAACAGGAAAAAAAAAATGTGAAAGAATATCACCTGCAAGTAAGCATTCATCCGCTCAACAGAAATAAAGCGGATTTCAGTATCTGATATTAGACGAATAGTGTACTGGAACAAACCACTGATTTGGGCAGCATAAGCCAATGCTAATCCAGCCATAGCAGGAGGAACCTGACCACGAAGTATGATTACCAAAAATGCAGTAATACAAATGATCAATACTAAAAACAAAACAGAACAAATAGAAATGATCACTGCTACAAAAAAATGAATTATGTATTTTAATGATTGTCCTAAAGGCAAACCTGCTAACTTATCCATTCGAATGGCTAACCACCGCCCAGCAACGTTACAGAGATACAGACATGTTGAATTTTCATCATACATGTAAGTGAAACTGTGAAAGAATAATATAGCTTACAAATCAAGAGATGAAAAATGTAATGATCACAGGTTACATACATTTTAATAATTGAATACATGATAAAATACCGTCTAATAAACTCATTTTCTTTTTCAAAAGCATGGATAGTATTTAAGCCTTGTACAGTAGTACCAATCCAACTGAAAATTGGAGATCGGGTCACATTTTCCAATCTTTTTAAGTCACGGACAACAACTCTGTAAATATAAATTAGATTGTAGTATTGCAGAAGATTATGTAGCTATTATAGATATTCCTATCAATGCTTATTTAAACATTCATAAATGCATTTACCTAAAAATTTTGCTCATAAAATAATACACTCCTCCTAAGAAAGCCATAGGAATAATAAACCAAGGAAATACCAAGCAAATCAATAGAATGGCAAAGAAGACAATCAACAGGTTCTGCATAATACTTTCTACTGTAAAAGGTAGGCGAACATCAACTGTCAAAAAGTAAAAAGTCAAATTATACATAAAAAAAAATAGACTGTTATATTTCATTCTTCATTCAAGTAAAATGGGAATTAAAGATTTGTAAATAGTAACAAATTACCTTCATCCATATCTCTGGCAAATAAATTTTGTATTCTCCCAATTGGTGTAGTTTCAAAAAATAACATAGGACAATGAATGATTTTATTAAAAAGTTTATTATGAATTCTTGTAGATGCATGTAATGGTAAGCTAAATGGAAGAAAAAAATTAATATTAATCATAATGAATAATAATATATAATAATAGTAATAATAATAATATATTAATAATAAACAATTTAATGATGAATATTAGTTGGATAATATATAATAAAATAATATGATAATAGTAAGAATAAATAATATGATTAATATAATAATAATAAATAGATAATGAATATAATAATATAATATAGTAAATAAGAAGTAAGTACATTTAAAAATTAAAAAAAAAATTTTTTTTTTTTTTTTTGTAAAAAAATGGTGCCAAGGCCGAGGGAAATAAAAAAAAATCTTTTAATTTTTTTTTTAAAATTTTTCATTTTATATTAATACGTAGAAGAAGAAAAAGAAAAGGAAAAAAAAAAAAGAGAGAGAGGAGAGAGGAGAGAAGAAAGAAAAAACTGACGTGTCTTAATCTGTATGTTTAGCATGAGAGGGAGTGTTTTCCAGTTTCCTGAGTATTCATTGACTCATTATTGCATTCTATGCCTTTTGCACAATCTTCAGATTTGATTAGAAACATGGCTAAGTAAGAACAAAATTATAATTATGACATTTTTTCTTCATTAGCAATATTATATATTTTCCATGAATTGACAATTGCACAGTCAATCAATTTTCTTTCTTCTACTCATTTTTCTCCAGAAGATCATCTATATTTTCCTTATCTGTCATTTCATCAAAATTAGGAGGAATGTGCTCAGCATCAATCATATTTGTAGAAATAAGGTCTACATCTTCTGCCAGAAATAAGTTCAGCAGTTGATAGAGGTCTTTGTTTTCTTCCATTATTCTCGAAATAAGTAGAATTGTAAAGAAGGTAAATATTTATGCTTGAAGCATTGTGCAATGATGCAATAATGCAGGAAAGACACTGTGTCCAAGATGAGATTATTATATTAGGAACAGATGTATGAAACAGTAGTTACATGTCCATTACTCAACGATTACATTCCAATTGCATTTTTTCTATCATATACTCACTAATCCCAACATTGCTTAAACGCAACATTATAGTAAATTATCAATAATAAGGAATATAAGGACTTATCTACATAATAAATATTCTGAAACAATAAAAGAAGGTTCAAGCAAGTTTGGCAAGTAATATTTAGTTAAAAAGAAGGATTGTGTAATAATTAAATTAAAAATTGAATAACGGTAGCACAATCCATTACATTTTCTCCATGTTTCAAAATTCAACAAAGCCAAGCTTTTATGTATAGTAAAAACTCAAAAGAGAAACCATGTATGAAAGGTTATGCCTACTAATGCACCAACACTGCCTGCCCTACTGAAAGAACGACACCTGGATTTCCATAAAGCATATCTCTTGTAAAAAGTTACTATTGGCTTGGATTTGGTATTTTCTTCTGGTGGCTCTGGTTCTGCTTTATAAACGAACTCCAATTTATTTCTTTTTTGTATAGGAAATCATATTTGTAGAAAGTCTGCTCCACCTCCTTTTTGAAAATTCAGCACGTTTCAATACTGTTATATTTAGGTAATAGAAGGAAATATGAGCTAACTACTTTATTCCTTGCACTGTCAATGGCAAAAAAACATAATTTCATTACATATTGAACATTGGAAGAAAAAATAATTACCTTTGTAAATACAAATCCTCTTAATAAGCTTGTTCCCATGATAACGACTACAGAAATTCCATACACTAATCGATAAACAGGGAAGTCAGGGTTATCAATTAACTGATCACTTTTGTGAGTCTGATTATTGTGTATTATCAAAGTTGACTGAAAGAGAAAATGAAAATAAACAGAAAAACATTATCAGAACTTTTTAGTCATATTAAAACATTTAGCTTCATAAATTATTTTGTTTATAATGAGGAATTTTCAACAACTTCAATAGTTTGAAAAGTAGAGACTTACCCCACCTCCTTCTTTAATCCAAGTTGCAAGCCACCATGAACTGAAAGTTGTACTTCCAACATTCATCAAGAAAGTGATAAAAACAAGAGCTGCCACAATGTAACCTCCAGCTGCAGCAACATAACTGTGGTATGTGTAGAATTTAATTTGACCTTGTTCTATATGTTCTGGCACTATCATTTGGTCACCTGGTGCAGTTCAAAAAGGTTTCAGGTTTATTTTCAACAGTTGTGTTCAAACACAAATGACAAATAAAATCATATTTCTAGAACAATTCTGCTCTAATATTTGAAACTTGCATAATGAATTGTTCTCTGCTTCAAACATTCTTGAGAAATTAGGAATAAAACAATATGCATATTATAATTTTCTCTCAAAAGGAATTTCTATCTTAAGGAATAAAACATATTTAAAATAAAATTGACACTTCAACAGTATTTCAATACTTGTAAAACAGATTTAGAAGAAGAGTTTTGTACTACATTTCATAAATTAAATATGTACAAACAAATAATACTTTAATTGGATATGTAATCTTGAAATTAATTAATTTTATTATTATAGACTAAGTATTTCAAAATCTATGAACATATTGGAAGAAACTTTAGTAATTTCTTTGTAAAAACAAACTTAATAACTGCAATAAAATATGTGGAAAAATTAATAGACACTTTGGCGGAGACATAAACCCGGAAACAAAACTGAAACTCCATAATATAGCTGCTAAGCAAGGAATCATATATGGGTCTGAAAGAGAGAACAAACAAAAACTACAGGCAGCACATATGGGACTGTTGATACCTCATGGGAATACAAGAAGAGACACTGAGAAATAAAAACATCAGAAAGAAATTGACAACTAAATGTTTAGTAGATGAGATAGAACAGTCTCAAAGGAGATGCAAAGATCATTTATAGAGAACGAACAACAACAGATTTCCAAAATTAATTTGGAAGTACCTACCAGTAGGGTTAGAGATAGAGGCAGCCCACTAAAGAGGTGGTGAACTATTGACAACACAACCTCATAATAATTGATACATAGATTTACTTTGTCAAATCTATACACAAAATGAATAACTTGATTACACCCATCCTTCTCTGATTCCATTCATGTTATTCATTCCAAGATTCAAATCAGTCAGCAATTATGTCAATTATTTATAATATCTTCTATTTATAATATGTTATGAAAAGTTGGTATGATTTTGAAGATGCCATTACACAAAATCGTAAATGTATAACTACTGCTGGGTAGGGAATTACTCCAACTGTTTTCTCAAATTTTGTGATCACCATCCTAACCTGTATACAGAAGTTGAATTATAAATACAGGTAGACATGAATGTTTTGGCAAAAATTGATGAGAAAATATTAGTACCGTTGTAATATTTGTTATTTATATTGTTTATTTGCAAAGGAAAAGAGTTACTGATTTTGGATATTCTCCCTCATAGTGTCCTTGAAGGAATCAATTTACAGCAGTGAGAACATTGATAATGTTAATTTGAATAACTACATTTCTCACTAAATTCTAGAAAATGTGCACAATCAGTGAAGTTACATTGATGTCCAAAAGCAAAACAAGGAGCCATATCAGCATTTGCTCCAAGGATCAGGGAAACTAGATGGAAAATCTGAATGAGTTGAGGATCATTAAACCAGAAGCTGAGGTACAATACTTGTTACAGACATATTTAGTCTTTTAAAATTAATCAGTCCAAATGGTAAACAATTCATTAAATATCATTATTAAAATCAATATTACTTTCGTTTTTGATGTATGGTATAATCTCTGATTGTTTAAATAGAAGATAGCAGAAGATATTTTACTTGACACTTAAACTTGTGTAATGATTTTAATTGTTTAATGTCATCTGGCAATATCTTGTAAAATAATGTACACTTACTGAATGTGAATCTTTCTTAGTGAGCTGTTGATACTCACATCTGATGAATATGATTACTACATCAGGTGTTTTAGTTATAAACATGAAAATATGTTTCCACCCTTGAGTAAGTCATTTTTGACAAAAATGTCTGATTCGTAAATCAACAGACAAGGCAATAATAGAATTCCTAGCTCAACCTTTAACCGCCTAGTATGTCCATATTCATACGCATTAGCAACATTTCATCCTTTTGTATAGAGCTAGTATTTATTATGACGAAGTTTGCAATGTTTTTCTTATAAAAGAAAGTCCAGACTGTGAGCTCATTGTTGTTAGAATGGTATATCGTACAACTGTTTGTTGTAATTGCTTCCCAAAAACAAAATGTTTTGTGCTAAAAAATCTTGCATGTTGACGTGGAGTAAGTGGGTTTTATAACATTGTTTCTATTTTAATTGGTATTTAATTGCATGAAATACATTTTAAAACTTCAACATAGGAATACTGATTTTTTAAACAACTTTTGAGATTTTTTTTTTCCGTAGAATAAAAAATATTTGAGTGTATTCATTCGGACGCGCTAGGCAGATGTGGGGTCAAATCTTGCTGTTGCCAAAATAACGTTTTTAAACTACTTTCGTCTCTATTTTTTCCATCAGAGGCCTGTAAATTATATTAAATTTGGATGTTACAGTTCAAGAGGTTCTGGAAACACTTTTTGAAGTTAGAAGTAATGTTCCTCTATCTGATACAAGGGACATTTGAGCATTCTATCATGCAGACAACAGAATTATTGTTGGCAAGTGGGTTGAAAACTCAGTTGTTTCTGTAGCATGAACACAGCTGGCGGCTGGTGTTGAGCCTGTGGTCTCAGTGAAAATATATACAACAAAGGAAAAAAAGACTATCCAGATTCAAGTATCTCAGACAATAGCTGAATATAATTGATACATGGGGGATGTAAACCAGATGTATGAGAACACTGCCTTGTACGAAATAAACATTTGAAACAAGAAATGGTACTGAGCTCTCTTGTCATGGCAAATCTGTGTACCAATACACAATGCTGGGCATCTGAAAAAGAAGACTGTGTAAAAAGGTTCCAGCTAGGCTTTAGGCAGAAAATTGTTCACGTTGAACAAAATTCATGAATTCAATAAAAGGCATGGGAACACCATCAAACATCCCCTTCATTACATATAAAACAAGTGTAAAGCAAACCTATTTTTATAAAATTTACTGTTCTTTTTATTACACAGAAACAAATTTTGTAGAAAATGAATATGTAACTGCCCAGCATGTCCATAAGGACACAGAGCTTATTTGAAAAAATTACAAATATATTCTTGAAAATATATATTTTTTACCATATATATTACCCTACTTTTTTAAAATCATGTAACACAAAAAATTTAAATTTTCAGACAAAAAGCATGGGCAGTTAAGGATTAAGGCTTACAAGAATCACGTGGGTCAATTTGCTTATTTTTTGTACTATTCTTATCTTTAATCTGAAAGTCTAGGTGTTTGTTCAGAATGTTACACCATATCTCACATCTGATCAATATCAAACATCTGATATTGCATTATTTACTGTTTCTTTATTGCAAAGACTATTTGTATCATTCTCAAAGAGAACTGTTCTTTCATTTCTAATCATTTACAAACAGTAGGAAGATAATAGGGTTTAAAATCAAACCCTATGGGACCACATGTGCAATTGGCAAGGATCAGAACGGTGAGTGCTTTAATTTCCCATCATTCCAGTAATCAGACATATTTACAACTACTAGATTTTTGTGTATAAAGAAATAACTGGTCCACATCCCTTATTATTATACATATACATAACATATTATTAAACTTATCAATGGTTCAAGGTTTACCACACTTATGTTTGTAGGACTTCTTTTTTTTAGTCAGAATTTTCTTAGTCACTTAAGTGATCCTGATCTTGCCATCTTAAGTTAGGACTTCCATGGATCTTCATCCCATTGGCCTATATGTCAGTATCTGTTTTACATATCTGTCTTCATTCTCTTACTATGGTTTTGCCATTTTCTTTGCTACACTTCTACTGTTTCAACTAAAATTTCAACAATCAACTGAAAATAATAACAAATAAATTAATATACATTACCTTTAACAGATGAATTTTTATTTTCTTGCAAACTCTTATCAGTAGTTAATGAAGCTTTCCTTCCCACATCACCACTTGACTCTTCATTCTGAAATCTGAACAATGAATCCAATGATGACACACAATTCAGTAGAACCCTATTATAAACGAAAACACACTGTATCCCAAAAAGCAATTTCTTTCTGCCTATAAGAGACCTTTTTATACAAGTTTCATATGTATGGAAAAGAAAATAATTACCCCAGAGATTTTCTTTTTGGTATATTTGACAGGATTCAAGACGGGCATCTGTTCTGGCTCTATCATGTTTTACAAATGGGCGAAAGCAGCTGGCAAGAAAAGGTCATGCTAGATTTTGTTTCCCAAAAGTAACACGCAAGTCAAAATAACAAATTTTCCCTTAAAGCCAGATGACTCAATGCATTCATTCTCAATGCCGAAAATGTACACAAAAAAACAACAACAAAAAACAAAAACACGCCATGCTATAGTAACGAACGTTTCTGTCCATAAATATACCCTTCCAGAAATACCCAGCTCATCTTGTGAGAAATGAACAGTGAATTAATGGAAACAGATGCTAGAGTTGACAATCATATTTGCAGATTCTGTCACATGAAAGTTGTTGGAGTTTTTACAGAGTAGGCATCCCTCAATGACCAAAAAATAGACAACTGAATGGATTAAAGGATGTGGATAGGAATATGATGGATCCAAAGGATCATCAGCAACTAGTATGTGTGAAGAATCCTTGGAATTAATCAAGATCATCAAAAATGAACTATCAAAACCATATCCCACATTGAAGCAAAACTGAAGAAGATGAATGACAATACAGTTCATGTAGAAGATTCAAAGCAGGGATTTTAAGGCATTATGGAGGACATTACGTGGCTCTACATCATAATGGACAAACTCATAGCAGATGCAGACCTTTCAGAAGAGGAAGAAGAAAAGATGAAGAAGAAAGAAGAAGAAGAAAGAAGAAAAGAAGAAGAAGAAGAAGAAGAAGAAGAAGAAAGAAAAAGAAAAAGAAGAAGAAGAAAAAGGAGAAAAAGAAGAGAAAAAGAAGAAGAAGAAAAGAAGAAAAAAGAAGAAGAAGAAAAGAAGAAAAAGAAGAAGAAAGAAAAGAAGAAGAAAAAGAAGAAGAAGAAGAAAAAGATAAAGAAGAAGAAAGAAAAGAAGAAGAAGAAAAGAAAAGAAGAAGAAGAAGAAAAAGAAAAGAAGAAAAGAAAAGAAGAAGAAAAGAAAAGAAGAAGAAACGAAGAAGAGAAAAGAAAAGAAGAAGAAAAGAAAAGAAAGAAGAAAAACGAAGAAGAAGAAGGAAAAGAAGAAGAAGAAAGAAACGAGAAGAAAAGAAAAAGAAGAAGAAACGAAGAAGAAGAAGGAAAGAAGAAGAAGAAGAAGAAGAAGAAGAAGAAAAGAAGAAAAGAAGAAGAAGAAGAAGAAAGAAGAAGAAGAAAAGAAAGAAGAAAAGAAGAAAAAATGAAGAAGACCTAGTCCAAAAGATAGGCATTTCCTAGACTTAGTAGCTGTTAAGATATTGTTGGGCAATATAAATATCTCAGTAAAGGAAGTGATGTTTGTCATGACTGTGAGAGATATTATTTTGCCCAAGCTATACCAAGACCTGTTAAAAGTAGTGCTGAGCAGTACTGAATGCAATAGGAATGTAAATAAAGGCTGGACTTGCCCCAAGGAGTTCATGCCAAAAATGATCCAACACCTTCATGCGAACACCTGAACAATGTGAAGAATTGAAAGTTCTATGTGTAACACCTTGGCTGCCCAGCAGTATAAGCTACTATCAAAAAGTATATTAAAGTCAATCCACAAATTGAAGAAAACTCAGAGAGAACAGCAGGCAGTAGCTGCAAGATCTTCAATAACTCAAATGAGAATATCCTATATACTAATATTTGAATGGGTAAAAACCAGAATGGTGACATTTTATACATTCTGAGAAAAACGTGTTTATTTTAGGCTATATTTCAATGATAATGTATTTTCATGGTTTTAATGAACAATTGAAATGCCATGGTTTTAATGATGAAACAAAGCATCACAACTTTACAGTAATATTGATTTAAATATACAGTTTTCTCAGAATTTATAAAATGTTAGTTATACCATTCTGGTTTTCACCCATTCATTTTATCTCTTAAACTTATTCAACTTACTCAAGTTAGAAATGCAAGTCTTCAATTCCAACATTATAATTGTCACAGAAACCTAGATAAAAACAGATATCACTAAACCTTTCATCAACTTACCTGCATTTTTTAATCAGAGAGAACCTACAGACGAAATGGTGCAATGGTGCAACGATGTGCATCGCACACAGGAATGGGACACTTGATATTTAAACTGAACCTATTGATAATCTCCATGATCCATCACTAGAAAGCCTATAGTTCAAAATATCCATATGTGGTAGAAATTTTACCATTGAAGTAATATATAGACTGCCACCCACAACCCAGAGTGCAAGAATCCAACCTGAATTTATTTCAGATGCTATGTAAAGTCAGAATAATAAAAGAACTCATTCTTATTTTTAGTGACTTCTATGTATTAACTATAACGTGGATAAGAAATCAGCTGACAAAAAAGGCTGGAATAGATATATTTTTTTTGAATTTTAATACAATACAAATCTGATTCAAAAGTTTCACTTAACAACTAGAATGCAAGATGGGCAGACATTCTCAATTATAGATCTTACAATGACCAATGATGATATCATAACTTTCCCAATACTGCAACCACCTACTGGACAAAGAGATCATCTTGTATCATTGTGACATTACAGATGAAATTAGATTTGATAGGTATGGTCATCATCAGGTGAACCAACTTCACCATAGCAGATCCAACTTCACGAAGACTGACAATGAAGCCATGAAAACGCAGTGACTGACCCCGTACACAGTTACGTGTGTGTGTATATGAACGTGATATGTGCATGTGCACATGCATGTGTGTATGTGACTTTTGTTTGAAATAAGGATTTCCTGTGAATCCTCTACCCCAGGCTCCTTGTTTTTTCTCAGTGTCACTGTTGGTGTGTTGTGAAAGACTTGCAGAAAAGCAAAAGCATAGGAAATTAGAATTTGCAACTTCTAAGAGCTGCAAACAACAAACAAAACTACTCATATTAAAAAAAGTTTTGCGTTGTTAACTTTTTCATTAAATAACATATATTTTCGTCAAAATTTGGTTAATTTTTTTTCTGAATTACAATATTTTCTCTAGATACAAATAAGAGAGAAAGTAAAAATTGATTAATTCCAAATTATTTAAAATAGTAACTATCCTCTAAAATAATTATTTTCGCCCCTTTTACATTTTTGACGATATTTCTTACCTTACTAAGTCATTAGAAATAATATTCCAAGTGCTTAAATTATTATTTCTAATAGGTATCAAACCTCATACACAAATAATAAATTAAATACTAACGGAATTTGGGTTTTCTGTTCCTTCTCCAAAAGGCATGTTTTTAACATGTGGGCATATTCTCCATCATTTTTCATCAAATCATTATGACTTCCATGTTCAATAACTTGTCCATCTTTCAGCATGTAGATATCATCACAGTTGCTGAGGTACTGAAATTCAATTTCGATTATCATTATAATATTTCTACAAAACAAGCAAAAGAAGAATAACTGAAAATAATTCACCTGCATTTGGTGTGTTACAAAAACTATTGTTTTGCCTCTCAGACTAGTCATTATGTATCTCTGAAAAATTTCAGCTCCCACGTGTGCATCAACCGCACTCAATGGATCATCAAGAAAGTACATATCTCTGTACAGACAGTAATATACATAGTAGATAAAGAATGAAAATTGAGCAAATCACTGAAACATATACATACCTATTGGAATACAAGGCCCGAGCTAGAGCTACCCGCTGTTTCTGTCCACCTGATAAGTTGATGCCTTTTTCTCCAATTTCAGTTTGATCTCCACCAGGAAGCATATTTATATCTTCCGTCAGTGAACAGGCATAGATTGCTTCATAGTATCTAAAAATATTTCCAAAGAAAATAATAAAATAATAATAATAATAATAATAATAATAATAATAATAATAATAAAATAAGAAGAAGAACAACAACAACAATAACAACAAAAACAACGAACTAGTTCCATGCGAAATTTCTGCACATTGTAATTATAATTGTTTTAAAAATGAAAGTTATTTCATAGCAGACAACATAAAACACAGAAAATCAAACGGTTCCTTTAATTTTATAGAGAAATACTATTACTGTCTTAATTTCCTTCAATTTAATTTCAGATTTCTGAACTTTTCTGACCACCTATGCTATGGAGTTAATTTGGCCTGGAGGTAATATTAGAGGTTCAGCATATTGGGTTGTTGAAGGCAATCACTCAGTCCCCGCAAATATACCAAGAAGGATTTCTTAAAAAATGAGGAGTTTCTGCTCCCTTTGAGCTGGATACGACCTCTGGTTCAGAGACAAGTTCATGGTTAGAGTGGAAAACCACAGTGATCATAAAAACTCCATCGATCCGAGCAACGTACTGTGCAAGAAGAAGCAGAAGGAAGAGGAATAGAAGTTAAAGAAGAAAAAATGTCAAAGAAAAAATCAAAATGTCAAAGTAAACAAGATTCATTCCATAGCAACAAATTCAAATGCAATAGTAAATATCCTTTAGTGCAACATAATTTACTGTATCTCATAGCAAACTGAAACAGTCACTAGCCAGTTACTCACTAATGTGTATTTGCATACAAGAAATTCTTTTTAAGCCAGAAGAACATTTCAACTTAAGGGGATATAAGAACTTCTACTTTGAGGCTGATCTGCCCAGTTCATTTCTCCACGTGTCCCCCAGCTGATCCTCCAAAACTCATTTTCCCCCAGAACGTGCTGATTCTTAACAAACTTGTGTTGCTTGGCAACACATAAATTAGGTTTCACGGTGCAGGACAAATCAAGCAATATAGACCCTGTTCTATGAACAAATAGAGGTGTCGTTAATGCAATTGACCAACAATACTTTCTGTTAGACATCTGCAAACTCAACTCATCATTGGCAAGCCAATAGCTGTTAACTTAAACACCACTGAACAGTGACCATTTGTTTACCACATGTGTGAAGGTGAAATGAAGACTTACAAGATGTGTTTGATAGCATCCATTTCTCATTGTAGGTGCCTTCATTGCTCATAGCAGCACATGGGGCTTCTCTAAAAAAAGTGATGCCAGTAAAAGAATTGATGACCTGCTACTACTTAGAAATGAGCAAGTACTCTTAAACAAAGGAACAAGCACTCACTTCGTTGGAAATCATTTATTCTTGGCCATAGATCACATTCTTTAGTCTGAATCTTGCTACATGCTTGATGTTTCATTTATTTACTTTCATTTATTAATATCGTCAAACATACCAGAGAATGATGTTTGTCACCGAAACATTGGTGCATCAATCGTGCTGGCAGGTCCAGATTCACTAGACATGTAATATCGACACATGTTAGTGGAAACACAGAAAATGTAACAAACTTCAACACAGTGATTTCTCTTGGTGCAAATTACATTCCACAAATGTGTGGCCACTCATCCACAATTCCAGTACCATAGTGAAAAGTGGAGACCAAAGAAGCAATAAAAGAGAAAATAAGGACCCCTCAATAGATACTGGCTTTCACCAACCCAAGACAATCTTAAAGTTTTCATGTGATTGTGGGCTCTTGAGTGCAGAAAGATATCAACAAGAGTCTAGCTGGGAAAAATATGTGGCAATAATTACTGGGTGACCAGCGTCACAAAAAGATGGAAGACGATCCATTCGATTGATGAAAAAAACGTATTCTGTAACATGCTTAAAACACGATTGACAATTTGACTCGACCCTGATGAAATTGCCAACACATTAGTGTCTCAATATTTCAAAGTTAGCAATTCAAAGAACTATCCTGAAGTCTTTCTCAAGAAGAAGAAGCACTAGACTTTACAGTTGACACAGATAAACTATAAAATGTGAAGTTCGGAGAGAATTACAAGGTGGTGCACATGCAATTGGACACACTGCAGAATAACTAGACAGAAATCTCTTAGAGCACAGGGTATCAATTACCAAAAGAAATACTGCCTACTATGTTAAACATACACAATAACATCTGGACACAAGGTATTTACCCAAAAGTCTGAAAGGAAAAAGTAATAATCCAATTCTAAAACCTGGTAGTGTGTCTATAAATCCTGAAAACTATAGCACAATCTCACTGGTGTGCTGGCAAGGAAAAATACTACAAAAGATCGTCAAAATACCACTTCCCTCTCTCTGTCAATGACATCCTTTCGGGTTCACAATGGGTAGTCCATCTCAGAAAGTCAAAAATGAAAATGGTGTACCAAACGTTCTCTTCTGAGGGGTTCACTTATCTTAATCATCAATGAGAAATTTGATTAAGCATTAGTGATCAACAGGAAAATACATGTGTGTAGATGTCATTGCTCTATCCTGTATAGCATCAGCAATCATGATATTAAAAATGAAAAATACCATAAATAAATTAAGACAGAATGTGAAAAACTATTGGGTTTTCATGCGTGCAGTGCTTAAAGTCAACTGTTGCCATTTCAGCATTCCACATTTTATACAGATGTTCAAAACAATTCCAAGCCGAACTTGCCACCCATCAGTTGTGATGCTGTGTGCTTAAATACACATTTAAAGTGATCTTCTTTCAAAAAATTTACCAATTGCATGGTGTTTTGTCTTAAAATGTTGCAATTCTTTTAAAAACAACAATCGATACATTTTTTAAAATCAGTTAAAATATATTTTTGTTCAAGTAAGCACATACACTCGTAGAAAAAAATCTTTGTTTCATGATCAAAAGCAATAATTTTCAATCAAAAGCTTCTCTTCAAATGCAAACATACCAAAAAGTTTTTGTTTCAGCTAAACTTTGATATCTTCATTTTTCTTGACAAATAGGGTCTATTTGCCTAGTCAACACCTATTAAATGATTTCATCTTATCTGTATAATTTATTATCTGTCTTAACATTCTTGTATAAATATAAGACATTGACAGTTATTGAACAAAAATTGAATTACCAAAAAACCTAAGTTATTTTTTCAAGATTTATACAGAAGAGTACAGACTAGTTGAAAAAATATCGCCAGCCATCCAGTTATGTTTTGCATTAGGTGAGCAGATATTTATTATTCAGGAAGAAGTGTAAAATTAGCTTTTAGTGTTGTCAAATGGTCAGGCACGTTGTTTGGCAACTAGATTTCTGACAAGCATTGGCACAAATAATCCTGCTTTTACATTTTTATAAGTGTAAAGGAATTTTGTCCACTTAAGAACATCCTTTCAGACAGCAGACATCAGGCAGTTTACATTGGGGAATTTGAAGCAGCAATTCATTGCCATAATCATACATGTCACAGTGTTACTTTCATTAATGACATTCCTATTGTGCATTGCTTCCCTTATTGTATTATTTGTAGAGCCCAGTATTTTAAGCATTTAATATAAATATAAAATAGATAGGCAAAAAGACATACATTTTTATTAAAGTCGGTAAGCAAAACTTGATTAAAACATGCCTAATTTATCTATTTTCCTAGATATAGCTAAAGAATTTTATACTATAAATCATGGTATGTTATTGAAAAAGTTAAACAAAATAGGATTTAGAAAAATATTTTTTGTGTCATATAAACATTATTTAGCTAAAAGAAAACCAAAATGAACAATATTTTTAGCAATGTGTTAAATACCATGTACCACAAAGAAAGTATGCCAAGACTCATTATGGTAATGATATATTAGCACATGTCCCTAAAAAGGGAATCTGCTTTCATTTACATATGATACTGACTTTAATGAGACCAACAGGTCTCATTCGAAGTTCAAAGTGAAGCTGAACACAATATTAACTCAATCATGAAATTATGAAGACTAAATTATTTTGAGCTTCCTTATCAATAAGACCAACGTTATCTCTTTTGTATGTTATAGAGGCAACTAAGCAGTAAGTTGTATATTAAAAATCATGAAGATAACTAACCACATTGACGTTAATTGTCCCATAAATAAAAGAGTAAGTAAATATTGAAGAATGCAAATACATTTTTATTTAAAATGAAATCTCCATTTTTAACGAACCAAACAAGATTTTTGATATTTATATTCCATAAAATGAGACAAATGTTAAATATTTAACAAGTTTTTACCTTTCAAATATTATTTTAAAATTAATATTTAGTTTTATATGGCAAGTTAAAGTCTTTACTCACATAACAATGAAAAAAGTAAACATACATAATAGATAGATATCACTCCATAACATGCATGTAAATTACAAATAGAATTAAAATGAAATTCCACATCTGATACCACTTAACTCTAAGGTGAATTTTCATATTCACATTTAATATTTTTTGTCATGTAATTATGTATCTACTTAGTATTTTATTTTACATATTTCCTTACATCTATCTGCTTATATCATTAAAAGATTCAAAGCATTTAAAGCGTTTAAGAATTCAAAGAGTGTTGTGGGTTCAAACAGTGAACACTGATAAATACAGAGTAATTTTGACTTAACCACTCATAAATGACCAAGTATTTTGAACACTAGGAGAAAAAGAACAAAATACAAGATCCAATGCCAACTTATCCTTCATTGTGCTTGCACAGTCCAGTTAAAAGAAAATATTATATTCAATTGAAGTAAAGGTATTGTAATATTGGAAAAATTTGATCTTGAGTTTTTGTTGAATACTCAATAAAGGTGCAATTGACAATAAATGGTGATTATCTCCTGAAAACGTTTGGTCATTCCCTTTACCTTTGTTTTGTAAAACATTTGAGTTCCATAAACAAGAAAACTGTTGCACTTGAGACTAAAAAACAATGACTACTCACTACTATTAATTTGTTCAGAGAAATACCTTTTTGAATCAAATCTTTCTCCAAATAGAATATTTTCTCTCAATGAAGCATTCAGAATCCAAGCTTCTTGACTAACATATGCACATGTTCCGTCTCTTGTCACTTGACCACTCAACTTCCTCATCTGGCCTAAACAAGCAAGAATCAATGAAGTTTTTCCAGATCCCACAGGTCCACAGACACCAATGAGCTTGCCCTGCAAAAATTATGAATTAATTTTTAAAATATCAATTTTGCAAATATCATGACTTGTAATCATGAACTACCTTTGGAGCTTGAAAACAGATGTCTTGGAGAACAGTAATATATTTTCTGTCACCCAAAATAGCATTCAGACATTCTGCTTCAGGTTCTTTAGGTAAAGCACTAGAATTATAAAAATAGAATAATCATTTTGTTTTTATAGACAATTACATCTATTTTAGACAATTTAAAATATTTGAAGAGTTAAAAACATATAATATTAATTTAATTTTTTTAAACATACATTATCATCAATACAAAAATATAAAAATGTTGGATTTGTTTACTTTCAAAATTCATGTCATCACTTTAACAATAACACGGTTTCATCATATTTCACTAACCTTTTTCCAACACTGGTTGGAGAAGTCACTGTAGGAGGTGTATTATAAGCAAAAGTTCCTCCCACAATATGAATAGCTTCTGATTTATCAATTGGATGAATAATGTATGGAGCAATATCCTCCATGCATAGGATACGCTATACAGAGAAATTGCATTTGATAATTAGAAATAATTATACTTTTGCAAAATATCTGAATATCACATAATTCAAACAAAACATTTTTATTTCATCCCCTTCTCAGTAAAAAAATACTTTTTCCAGCAAAAGCACATAAAATTGAAAGTAACAAATATTGCTATTGTATCTTGCTATGCTCTGTTTATAAATTAAAATAAATTTTTCACATCAAGTACTTATTTATTCAAATCAAATACCCATGAAGTACAGTAGAACTCCAATGATCTGGCCTGGGAATGATTTGGGTACATGAGAAAACAAAGATAATAGGATATGTTTAAAAAAATGCCTAGCATCTAGAAATACATAGTGATTGATAAAGTAGAATAATTTCAAAATAAATATAGGAAGCTGAGTATTTCACAAAATCAAAGACAGAAGCTTAAGAAAAAAATTAAATCTTAAGTAATGAAAAATCTGTTACGGTTACATCAGTGATGTCACCTTTTCAAAGAAATATAATTTTCAGGTACAGAGTTCCTTTGATGATCTTGTAAAAGATGAACTAATCAGTCAACAATTTCTTTAACCAAAAATGATTCCCATCCCATTTCTTTTCATCAAAATCAATAATCACTCTCACTGATTGGATTATGGATAACTGGAGTTATACTGTATATAGAATTTTGTTTTCTCTGTGGGTGCAATTCTGGATATTAGTCTTACAACCAAAAATATAATTTCTAACATGCATTAAAAGCAATAACAACCAATGCATGCATAGTTTTGTACCACAATATTAAAACATTTAATTCTATTTTTTTAAAAGGTCAAAATATGCAAAAGCTACCAAATAACCAGCAGTGAGTTGGCAAGCAAAAGCAGAAAGCAGAAGACAAAACAATTTTTAATAAAGCAACAAAAAAAATTTTAAAAAAATAAAAATAAAAATTAAAAAATAAAAAGACACAAGTTCTCAAAAATATTCCAACTTCACAAAACTACTTCAAAAATAAAATTTGATGAAAAAGACAAATAGTTGTACATTTCACATTTTACATCCAAACAAAAGCACAATAGATGCTAATATATTGGTTCGACCACCTTAAATCGGGGGAAAGCCACCAGTGATTCATATATATTACTGGTGCCAATTCGCAAGTTATCAAAAGAGATCCTCAACTGAGTATTCAATATTGCTATCAGAGGAAATGCCTGGAAAAGGATGGAACGTAAAAGAATCTTTCATTTGAAAAAGTTAGCACTCAAAACATAATTATTACATGCATCATTTACATATTATAATACAAATAAATTTTGTTGGAATAATTTCACATCACAATTCTGAACACTTATGCTCAAGAAATCCTGTAATAGCTTATTAGCAAACCACTTTTTTTTTATTACAGAAAGTGCCCTTGCCCATACAAAGACATGTATGCAAATAAATTACAATCTCAACCTTCATTCGTGGGAAGGAAACACAAGAGTCTACAATTGCTTTGCTTCCTTCACGAAGTCTGCTCAGAACATCTTTTAATTGATTACCAAACATAGTAATTATGGGAAAAGCCTGAAAACAAGTGCAATATATCACTCACTCACACACAAACACATACATTGTATATGTACACAAAATTTCTACACAAATTAAAACACTATTTCCAATTACACTTACTACTACTGGAATTCAAGGAATTGTAAATTTGAAATAAAATACTTTAATTACTTCACAAAACTGGTCAATTAACAAGAAAATATATTAATGCAGAAATACTTATTATCAATGGTGCTGAAAATGCAATGTATAGAATAAGCGAACAACAGCTCACAAAAATGCAATGTAATAGAAAAAATGGCAATGTACCGAATGAACGTTCAAGGAGTAAAGATGTTTATTTTAAGGTCATTTTCTGTCACCAAAAATGTGTGCATCTAAAAAGGAATACTAGTTTTCTTAATGCAGCATATTAGTACACACGTTCAAAAGCTGTTAGCTAGCACAAACTATTCAATCTCACTGTAAGCTTAATAGATGCTTTTACATTTTATGTTACCAGAAGGAAAGATACTACACAGTGATTACACGTTGTGATCAGTAATGTAAGTAGCAGGTTGCAATAATAAAGTGTTGGTTGAAAAAACTCACAGCTGTAAATTTTCTTTCATTCAAATGTGTACTTTTCCCAATTATTTTTCTCTAAATTCCTCAATCAGTCACCCGGAAGAAATTAAAATGCAATGATCAAACCCAAAAGCCCTTTCACTGGCTACATCTTTGTTGAATAATGAGAGTACGTAAGACGAGAAGTCACCTTGTATCTCATCACTGATATACTGCCTTCATAAAGAGACAAAGCACTGTCCCTTGCTTCAATCATAGCACTACGTACTTGCTTTGCACAAAATGTATACACAGGAAATGCCTGAAATTAATTAATATTAACGTATTACTGAAACTGCTAATACTCTCTGTCTCTCTGCTCCTTAGTATAATTTAAAAAAAATAATAATAATAATTTTAAAAAATTTAATAAAACTTTAATCTCAATTTCAGAGAAAATAGTGTTTCAGAAAACGAGAGATTATTAAAAGAAAAGAAAAAGAAACAAGAGATGCCAAGAAGAGAAAGAAAAAAATACAAAGAATTAATGAAAATGGAAAATGAATTACACAAATATAACAGAAGGCAGAAGAAAACATAACATTCAAAATGAAAAAAGAAATAGTGAAAAAATAAAACGTTAAAATATACAAATTGTAGTGAATAAAACTCTTAAAACAAATATAAATTTACCTAATTAATTACTAAATAAAAAATTATTTGAGAAAAATCAATATGCATATTTCTTGACAACAAGAAAATTACTAAAGTATTAAAATGCACTAATTCGTTATGTTGTAATCAATAAGCATGAAGTGGAAAACAAGTCATTTCCATTTGTTATGGCTGCTGGCTAAACAGCTTTTCAGGTTACAAAGGAAGGTATATATTCAATACATTTTTCATCATTACACTATTAGATTTTAACTTGATGTAAATCAAAAATGTATTCATATAGTACATAAAAATAAAGTTTCTGTTTACTTGTTTTTGTCCACTAAAAAAATTAGAATTACCAAGAGGACTTCAATGCAGTTTTCCCCATTGTTTAGAACATTTATCCCAGAAGGTATATATGAGTCGCCTAGAATCATAACTTACAATATCCAAAAAATCAAAAATTGAGATAATAAACTGTAAACCATTCCATATGTGGAATCCATATATCTGTTCATTTAATGTCTATGATAACATTGTCACATAGAAAAACCTGTTTGAAGTTACAGTTTAATTGCTTAAGTTACATTATCCTTGGAATATTATGAGTTTTGTTACGTCTTTTACTCCAGCCGACCACAAAGCTGCATTTGGTACTTACTAAAGTTTCTAAAGTAATGAACTTTAATTGTGCAATGATTACAGTAATGAAAGAACTGAAATTTTTTGAGTGTAATATTACTATATCCACATTCTTTAAAATGAAAACTTACAAAAAATTCAATGTTTTGGCTTTATAAATGTTATTAGAGATACTGAATACACAGCAGGGCACAATTCAATTTTGTTATGGTCATCCAACATTTACAAGATATAGGTTTGTGCTCTTTTGACAAAAAACAATTACTTTTTCATATACATATGTATATGTGGAGTAATATAAGTAGTAAGAAAATGTTATGGAATGCTGCGGAAACTAGATTTCGAGATTTCAACGGAATTACACGTTTTGGTGTTCCCTGATCTGAAAGAGTTTTTTTTCTTCTTTCCCTTAAAAATGCCCGTCCGTTTATGGACCACCCTAGCGCCTAAACTATACTTTTTTAACGTGGCGTCTCAAGGTCACGCGCAAAATACGGGAGACAGAAGGTGAAGAGTTAGTGCAGTATTTTAAAAAATGCACTTTGGACGGCCCGCGATAGCAGCTGAAAAGAGGATGGGAGAAGACCGAAAAACTAGGACAGACCAAAACACAGGAGTCAGTGTGTTGTCTCAAAAACTTTTCTGAACTTAGAAAACAACTAATTTTAAAATAGTACGAGAAAGTCTGTGCCATTCTGAAGCACCTCTAGCTTGGATATTTTGTGTCATGATTCTAGGCGACTCATACGCTCAAAGCCACACGTTGGGTAAGAGTCGCGCTTGCGAAAAAGCAACAGAATTAAGAAGAGCAAATAACGTTTCGTGCATAAATCATAATAGTACGTAATAATAGTAAGACGACTGAGTAATCTTCATTACTTCATTATATCAAGTACTATATCTCGTGTAAAGATGATCAGAGTAATAATTCGTAAAAAGACTGATACGATCGAACCTAGCATTTCTAAGGATAACTGTTTTTATTTTGTTTGTTTACATGTTTGCATTTTATGATGTTTATATGTTTACATAACTGTTTTTATACAATTAAAGACTACACTGATCATCAAAAGAAAAATAACATTTATTTTAACAAAACAAAGATATAAAATGCATTAGTTTACATTTGTATTGTATAATTTTAAAAAAAGGACTTAACCTGCTTGTAACAAGTAATGTACTTCAGCATCCGGGTCAATGACTCCCCATTTCGATAAGATTTTGTCCAGTTTCCCTGGCCCATTGAGCAAATGCTGAAATGGTCCCTTATTTTGCTTCTGGACATAAATGTACTAGCTTTACTATGCGCACGTTATGTTAAACTCTCCTTTTGCTCTTAGTGGTAGGACTAGTGCTAGGGATGAGGTACTATTTTGTTAGCAATGCTAAAAAAGTTAAAAATCAAATCTGAAGTTCATTTACTAACTCAAATATGTGTTCTGTAACTCGGGAATGAAAACGTCGTCGTGATAGGAATGCTTGTGTTTTGTCTGCAATTTTTGTATCAGTCCAAATTTTTCTTGAAGTATGACCTTCATTTACCCACGTTTCATCGAGGTAATATTTTTTCCCCCTTGCTGGACATTTCTTGTCGTTAACGATAAATTGTTCTCAA